AAAATTTTCTAGTAAATTAATACCCATTGCATTCTAGTGTAGATGCAAGATTCTCTAACATTTTCCTTCTAGAAACAATAGGCCAAGTACTCCAATTTTTGAATGCTTCCTCGGCTAATTTTATGCATTTAAACATATCTTCCCTACAATAAATTTAGACATTAATTTAATATGTGAGTTTTATTAAGTTTCTTAAAAATTGTTGCAGAGCTCAGAAGAGAGGCAGAAAAGATGCATGTATTCGTACTTTGTTGCGTGTGCATATGTATTGCTATTATGAATCCAGTATTCATTCTAATCATTCTTCACAGGCTTTTGCCATACGCCGTTATAAAAAAGCTCATAAACTGATCCTGTATAATCGTTTGGATTAATTTTATCTCCATCCTTTAAATCGTTCCAGAGAAGATGTGGAATCAAATTAAAAGTAGAAAACGACCATTTCCAAGAAAGCTTGATATTGGAGCCAAACTCGAAGTGTGCATTTATGAATGTAATATCTCTCTGATCTCAAAACAGACGTATTATTTCAATAAAGCATTTTCTGTAGACAATTTGGCATTTGTATTACATCATTTAAATTGTACTACGTACGCGTAATGTCGTTGCTAATACTTTTGCAGCTGTAATATCTTCCGACCATATAGACACCATATTGATTGACTTCAGATTGACAAAGTATGACGGAAGCATATATAAATCCTTCTTTGTACGAAATATGGAAATAGGCAAATCCATGTATGTATAAAAATCTGGAAAATACTTTTCTAGGAGCCATAAAAATTTCTGTTTTATTGATTCTTGGACAAAAATTGTATATATCTTTAACAGGAAAAAAGGTGTAACCCTTAAGTGGCTAATAACTGCATACAAGTCAGAATCTTGGCATACAATCATCTCATAGACGTAATCTGTGTAAATTTTAAAAATATTACTATAAAATGTAAAACTTTTAGAATATGTTTTGAATGTGCTTACTTAAAATTAATGGTCTATAATAACCATCTACGAATTCCAACTTCGAATTATTTCTAAAAAATATAAGAACGTTTACAAAATAGATAAGAATATCTTTTATAACGTAATAAGAAATATTAATTAATATTTAGTAAACAATTTAATTATATAACATAGTTTGATATATAATGTATACATGTATTTTTATTGGATAATTACATAAGGGCCGCTTTCAAAAATGATGGAATTTCATGTTCCTCACATACAATATACATAATATATATTATATTAATTTCATCATAAGTGCATTCATCTAAAAAGAGATAGTGAAAAGAAGAATTTCCATTATACAGTCTAGTACGTATATTATTTTATGTATATTATTGTTATTATTTTTCAATATAAATATAATATTAAAAATGAAGAAGCGCGAATAAAGGATGTTATCGATATATCGCTACAGATATATTACAAGAATATTATGAATGTATCGAACTCACTGTCAAACATCAATTTCCCACTAACAGTGTACAAAAAGTCAAGAATTGTAGTAATCATATCCACATGATCACAAGCAGATTTGAAAACAGATAAATTCTCTTCTATTATAGACGCTGTCCGCGAAAATCTATAAATGTAAAAAGAAAATAAAACAACATATATAGAGACAACTGTTACATTTTTTAACATCACTCTCAATTTAGGGTTAAGTAGTCATATTTACCTATCTAAAAAATTATTATTTTCCTCACATTTCAATTCGTAGTGTAAAGCAGATATCTTATTTAGTGCAGCCTAACAACACGCGTAAAAAACTTTTTATTAGTAATATATATATATATATATAGATTTTAAGTTCTCTGGCTTATTATATGTCACAATTCCTCAACATATTTATATATAGGTATATTAGTCACAATCATACTCACCTCCTTGTTGATCTCATACTCTAAGGCTTCATAATGTCGCTTTATGGTTTTAATTCGCTTATGCATTCTGATTCAGATTATTAATTAATTTCCAGCAATATTACAAAAGAAAAACGTATATGCGATCGCTATCTAGCGCACAGTAACAATAAGAACAGATGAAGAAGTGATTGTATTTGCGAAGAGATGACACTTTGATTTGGAGCAACAAACTGCCATGCAGGTGATCGCGCAAGACGCTCTATACATATAAATAATATTTTCGTATTCTGCTGCTAATAACATTATGAAGATCAAATACGTAAATGTCTCGCGATCTAAACAGTATGTAACGGGTGTTTACATATTGTAAGGATGTTATTTTGTCCCAATTTTAAACGCTGTATATAAGGTATTCCGGAATGTAACTCGGATAAAAAATCAATTGAACAAAGACAAAGCAATCTGACTTGTTCTTTATAATTATTTAATCTAAACTACTTGTACTTTTCATCTGTTCTTTTTCTTTCTGACGTCTAATCATATATCTATTTATTTTAAATACAAATATACAATATGCAGTGCAGCCACAAGCAAGATCTCATATATAACTTGCACTTCTTAAAAAATTTCTCGATTTGTCGTTTGACAACTTTTTTCGACAGTAAAATATTGCTTCTTCACAAAACCCAATAGGTGTCTATTTTAATTATTATTTTGTAATTTATTAAAAGAAATACACAATAAATACTTATATATGTCGTGCAAATTGATGTGAGAAGAAGATTTAGCACAGTTGCTATTAATATATCTTAAGCAAAATTTCTTTTTCTTTCAAAATGAAATAGTGAGGTATTTAAATCTCTTAAATCATTTTCTAGTCTCTTTTATTGTCGGTAATTATTTATGTCTATTTTTATCGGAGTAGATTAATTTTAATCTCGGTTTAACTTACTATTTATCCTTTTCTAACTCTTAGGACAAGATAAAATGTAAGTTAATTTATAATATTAAAATTATCCGGCATTTGACAGAAACGGATATAAGTGAATTGTCACATATTGCATTTCCACCTTGAGATAAAATATGAAAAGTATATCTACTTTACCTCTTGACAAGATCAAGATTTCGAAATTTCTCTTAAATAAAGATAAAATAACTCTTCGAATAAACGAGCATACATTTTAGGAAGTTACAACTACAGATATGTTTTATATGACACACTCAATATTTTTCCATACCTTCGATATCCTTAAATATATAATTCGTATGAAACGTATTAAATAAAATTGGAACATAAATAATAGGTACAATATTAATAAATATGAAAATCTCAGGTATAATAGAGTCGTGTCTATCGAGAGCAGATTATGCAAAGCGTCTGCTATAAATTTTGTTGATAGAAGAACTGCAGATTCGATACAGGATATGGCTTGTAAAATGCTAGTTAGATAATATATATAGAACACCAGCGGATTCTGACGTCGGTAGGAGGGGGCAAAATTATTTGATTCGATATTTTTCTTAGCATCACGCTTAGCTTTTACTTCAGGATCAACGAGAACTTGGTGAAACTTTTGATCCTGCTTTAACGTTTAATGTATTTTTTCTAAGATTTTTTAAAACAGATTCAACAAAACTGTTCTTTTATTTGGAAGGATGGGTTTTATCCCCCCCCCCTTTCCCAAGGATCCATCAGTGATATAGAGTAAAGTGTGTTAACTGTGTTAAGTGTGTGATATTAGAAAGTTTCACCGGCAAAATACGAGTTTAAAATTGCGAACATAATTAGTAAATTTTGATTGAACAATTTTACATACCGCAAATAATTGTTTCATTAAAC